CACACACACACACACACACACACACACACACACACACACACACACACTGTAGTTCAGTGGCACAGCACTGACCAGTGAGACCCTGGGTTCTATGGGAAGGTGATGGGGAATATTTTGCCCTAACTTAGCTCACTGAGACCGCCTGGTGGCCACACTGGTGAATAACTGGATCTAGTTTCTGGCCCCCTGAAGGACCCTGGGATTGGGATCCGGTAAAGGTCAGGTAAAGGTCAGCACCAACTTGGCCTCGGAAATGCGAGGGCGTCCTGGTGGGGAGGTAGGGAGGTGGGGAGGAGGCCTCACTTGCTCAGCTTCCTCCATTAGACACTCCACTGTGAAGGCAGCCAGAGCTGCTGTCCCTAAAATACAGCTCTGCCCTCCCACCCCCACCCCTGCCACCTTAACTCCCCAGGAGTAAAGCCAGCTACCCTCCAATCGCACTTCTGGTGAGTGCTAAAACACTGTGCTACCAAGTGGCCTTTAGTGCCTTGAAACCCTCTGTGAACCCTTAGTCCTCCTGGCCTTTGCCCATGCGGCCCCTGAGGCCTGCAGTGGCTCCTTTTTGGGCTGCTTGAGGCCACCTCCTAGCTTCTCCTGTAGCCCAGGCCCCCCATGCTGCCTGCTCTCTCTGTCCTTACAGTGGACATCCAGGTTCTGAGTCCCGAGGAAGCGAGGTCCTGGGAGCTTCGGAGTTGGGATGGAGAGAAAGGAGCTCTAAAAGGGCCTGGCCCATGTTTCCACCTTTCCACTGCTTGGGCCCCCAGCTGCCGGAACCTAGAGGCCTCAGCTCCAGTGCACTGAAGGGGGTTTCCAAAAAGTAGCAGTGAATGTGTGCTGGCTGGTTTTATGCCAGCTTGACTCAAGCCAATGTCATTTAAGAAGAGGAGACCTCAAATGAGAAAATACCTCCCCCAGATTCTACCTCCGCCTGTAGGCAAGCTGGCCTCGTACATTTTCTTGATTGATGATTGACGACAAGGGAGGCCCAGCTCACTGTGGGTGGAGCTACCCATGGGCTGAGCAAACCATGAGAAGCAAGTCAGTAAGCAGTGTTCTTCCATGCTCTGCCTCAGCTGCTGCCCCCAGGGTCCTGCCTTGAGTTGCTTCCCAGACTCCCCTGGACAACGAACTATAAGCTCTAAGGCGAAATGAAGCCTTTCTCCTCCCCGAGTTGCTTTATCATGGTGTTTTATTACAGCAATAGAAACCCTAAGACAGTTCAAGACTCAAAGGCAACTAACTCAAAGGAACCTGGAGACGGGAGCCTGATCACAAGTGCATTGTGTCTTCCAAAGTGTGCCAAGTCCATTTTGGAAGCTCCTAGTCCACCATCTCCTCCCCATGCATGGCAGCCTCTAGCCTGGTCTTTTCCCAGTCTTATCCCATAGTCCCTGCCTACTGCCAAACTGGGGCCTACCCTCTAACCCAGTCAGGATCTGACTCCATGCCCCCAGCCCAGGCTGTTCTGAATCACTCTTATCATGCGTTCCCAGCTTGAGGCTGAACAAGTAGCCTGACACAGCCTTCTCTACAAGCCACGAGCAGAAGCTGCCCTGAAAATCACCCAGCCATGGCATACACTGCCACTGGCTACCAGGCAGCTCGCCCCGTGACCAGCCCAATTCCCACACTCCAGAGTCCCAAAGCTACAAACCACCACCTGCCCAGCCCTCAGGCCCTTCTGAGGCAGAGAAGGGAACACTGGAGGCCCAGCCACACTCAAGGGCTCATTCTTTCTAAATAGCCGAAGGCCCCAGATTCATATGTTAAATCTGAACAACTCTGGAGACCTTATTTTTACAATTTAGTAAGTCAATAAAAAATAAGCTGGGAGGACTGGCAATATGGCTCAGTGGGTAAAGGTGACTGCCATCAAGGCTGACCACCTAAGTTCATTCCCACATGGTGGGAGGGAAGAAGCAACTCCAAGTTATCCCTGACCCCCACATTCACACTGTGTACATATAAGTACATATATACAATAAAAGTAACATATAATGTAAAAAATATGCAAAATGCATGTAAATATATAATTAAAACACGTAAATACATGTTAAAATTACAAATTGTAAATATAAGTAAAATAAAATTTATCTGAGTGGAAAAAAGTTAAACCTAAATGGGAACCAGACCCAGACCCCAAATGGTGTACACACACCTGTCCTGGGGCTACAGCAGCCGCACCATGCAGTACTGAGCTGCATCTCCGCCAACTGTCATTCACACTGCCACCCGCCTGACGCTGGCTCTGGGACCCCAGGATCACACACCAGACTCGTGCCCCATCCCACAGGGGTCTCGGGTGTGCCTCCCACAGCGGGTTTCTAACATCTATGTTATCCCAGGGGTAGATTGGGTGGGAGTGGTTTGGGGCTGCTGCCGTTTCTGTTCCCAGGTCCACACACTCCTTTCTAACAAGTGGGAAAGTCACAGACCAAGAACCCAACCAAAACAAAACCTAGGAAGGGCCCCCAGGCCTTGCTGCCACCTCAGGCCTGCACCACCAACCTCGCTCGCCCCCTCAGCCTCACCATGGGGAGCACAGCCCAGGAGCCTGGGGCAGGACTCACCTGCCGGTAGGTGCAGATAATGATCTCCCGCAGGTGGTAGTGCATGGGTGTCATGGTCTCACTGACGGTGTCCAAAGCCGCATCCACCTCCTTCTTCACGTGGTGGCCATCGGGCAGCAGCTGGACCACCTTCATCACCACCTGGAGCCAGCAGAGGGGTGAGCAAAGGGGGAGCCTCAGCCTGAGCCCCCCTAGCTGCTTCTCAGGCCCGGGGCAGTAAAGGGATATGGCAGCCCACAGATACCACACAACCACATTTTTCCATTCATAAGCAAGAGGGTCCACACATGCACATCTCAATGCATACATTACCCTCTGTGCAATGAGATATTTGTAGGCATGTGTGACGTGTGTGAATGTCTGTGTGATCTATGAGTGCATGTGTATACAGGCCACTGGGGGACATCGCGTGTCCTGTTCTCCCTCTCACTTCTGAGACAGGGTCTCTCACTGATCTAGCCTGGATCTAGGCTGGCCTCCAGCGAGCCCCAGGGAGCCTCTGTGTCTGCCACACAGTGCCGGGGTCACAGGTATGAAGGACCACGCCTGGCTTTTGCACAGGTCTGACTGCTGGGACTCAGTTCCCATACTTGTGCAACAAACACTTGTAACCACCATTCTTTTGTTTGTTGTTGTTTTTGAGTCAGGGTTTCTTTGTGTGGACCTGGCTGTCCTGGACTCACTTTGTAAACCAGGCTGGCCTCAAAGTCACAGATATCCACCTGCCTCTGCCTCCCCAGTGCTGAGATTTAAAGGCGTGCACCACACTGCCTGGCAATTCTTAATGTATGCATTTTTTTTTTTTTTAATGAGAAGCTACATATGTACATCTTTTTTGGTCATTTAATTGACTTTCTATCCTTAAGAGACCATCAGGTTCTGGGGAGACAGTTCAGCTGGTAATGTACTTGCTGCTCAAGGTTGAAGAACTGAGTTTTATCCCCAGTACCCACATAAAAGGCCAGGCAGAGGGCAGAGAGCAGAGACAGGTAAAGCCAGTCAGCCAATCCAGCTGAAGTGAAGAGCCCCAGGCCAGGGAGACCCTGACTCAAACGAAACAAAAACAAACCAAATAAAATGGGTAGCCAGCTCCTGAGGGCTCACACCCAAAGTCTATTCTGACCTCCCACCTAAGTGTACACACACACAAAAAAAAATTTTTTTTTAAAAAAGAGGCTATCATCACCACCCAGCTAACTCAGCCGGCAGAGCATGAGACTTTTTAAAAAAGGCTATCAGGGTAAAGAGACAACTCAGCCATTAAAAATGTGAATTGCTGTTAGAGAGGACCTGAGTTTTACTGCATCAGGTGCCTTACAATAGCCTCTACCTACAGTTCCGGGGACTCCAGTGCCCTCTTTTGGCATCCACAAGCAACTGTACTCATGTGGACAGACCCTCACAGAGACACACAGGTCCACATAGTTAAAAATAATGTCTTAGCAGGGCAATGGTGGCAGCACTTAATTCCAGCACTTGGAAGGCAGAAGTAGGTGCATTTCTGTGAGTTTGAGGCCAGCCTGGTCCAAAGAGTAAGTCCCAGGACAGACAGAGCTATATAGTGAGACCCTGTCTCAAAAAAAAAAAAAAAAAAAAAAAAAAAAAATCAGACAGGTGGAGTGGCACAGGCCTTTAATCTGGGAGGCAAAGGCAAGGGGGATCTCTGTGAGTTTGAAGCCAGCCTGGTCTACCCAGAGAAACCCTGTCTCAAAAAACAAAAATAAAAAAGTGTGTATCAAGTACTAAACCTCCAAGCTGTCACCTCTACCTGTCACAGTCACATTTTAATGAAACAGACACCCATAAAGGAATTCTCAGTCTTTCAGGGCACATTAACAGCAGAAGTAGGCAAGCCAGCCTCCTATAGCAGAAAGCACACACACAATTCTGAGAAGGAGAGCCAGGGAGACAAGTCCAGTAAACCAGAGGAAGCACTAACAGCATGATATGCTCGGAGTATACCAAAAGCACGGGCGAGGTCCCTTTCAAGATTCAGCTTACTCTTTATCTTTTAACTGTTGGGCAAGGATTCTACCTACGAGGCCATCTAACTGCAGCCTCCTCCAGCTTTTTGAGACGGGAGCTTACATGTTCCAGGCCATTTCCAAACTCACTGTGTAGCAGAGAATGACCTTGAACTCCTGATTCTCCTAACCTTTCCCACCCAAGCGCTGGATTACCGGCATGAGCCACAACTCCCACTCAGGGAATGTGATGCTGGACTTAAGCCCTGGACTTCCCACATGCTCAGCAGCAAGCCAGCTGAGCCCCTCGTTTCCTCTGCTTTCGTTGTTTTTATTGCAGGGATAGGGATCCAGTCCAGGGGCCTTATAGGTCAGGCAAACGTTCCACCACTGAGCTACACTCATTTATTTATTTGAAACAAAGTTTCACTGTGTAGCCCTATCTGGCCTCAGAGTTGCTACATAGACCAGACTGGCCTAGAGTTTGACGGCTGTTAGTATTAATTTTGTCACAATAAGAAAAGAAAAAAAAAAGTGAGTAACAACTATAACAGGAAAAAAGTTGTCCAAAGAGGAGCATATCCAAAGCCTGGGGGTACATGTGATTGGCATTTCTTGACCTCTCTCACAGAGGTCAGGGCAGTAAGACTGCCAGGAGAGCAAATGGCAAGTTTGTGGCACAGTTACCAGGTGGACAGAAACCCACCGTGAAGCTGGCCACTGGCCAGCTATGGGCAAGTGTGGAAAGAGGTGTCATGTGTCTGAGATGACACATGACAGAGGACAAGTGTATTATACACATGACTGGTTCTGAAATGTTAATGGCTGCCCTAACATTAACTGAAGCAGGGGGCTGAAGCAGGGGGCCGGCCAGAGCAGAGGTTACAGCCTTACATGGGGCACCAACCACAGCTGAGTCTCAAGTAAACTATGAGGTAGTTATCAACAATATCGTGAATACTTACCCTGGTAGAGACATGTCCAGCCCCCATCTACTATGGCTATTAGCAGAGGCTCAAGGGTCAAGCTGTTCTGAGCTGGCTGAGCTGCCAGCAGGACACAAGATTCCAGCCTGCACAGCATTCCCAGGGACCCAGAGACATACTCACCTGAAACTCGCCCTTGGTGAACTTGGCATCAGGCACACTCACTAGCTCCTCCTCGCCCACCTCAGGGCAGCCCTAAGGGATGACAGGGCTGAGCTGGAGCCTCTCCTTATTTTTAGCCTCTTCCCACACCTAGAACCCTGATGAGGGTCTGTGAGAACTGATGGATGGTATCAGGCATGACCTCTGACCCTTCACCCTTGACATAGCCAGTACCGCCCCTGCCTGGGACGACCTCTGACTTCACACAGAAGACCACACCTACCCCGACGTGCCAGCAGGCCAGCACAGCCACCACCATGGCAGTTGTGGTTCGGCCCTGGCCACTAAGGCAGCTGAAGACGAAGCCTGTGCCTGGGTCCTTGGTGAGAGCGGTCTGCAGGGCCTCAAGAAGCCGGTCAAAGTCCTGGGGTGACAAGACCACAGTGTGAGTCCAGGGGTGTCAGTGGCTGTCAGTGTGGACCCACATCCAGACGGTAACCCTAGGTTTCTGTCCTCACGTGCCCCGTCATACACATAACTTTGACCTGTGCAGACACAGCTCACAAGGTTACACACAAGAGCACATGTGTTAACAGCTACATTTTGTGCGCACCATAACTGTCCCATCCCAGCATCCAGGACTAGGCATATGAGCAGATACAACACGTTTCTGGGACTCGATATGCCGACCCTCCACCTAGTGGGTCATGCACTGGTGCCTTTCAGCTCAGTGCTGTGTCCTGCCTGAGATCTTCTGAGCACTTAGGGAGCAGCCAGTAGGGGGCAGCACCTCACCAGCTATGAGGCCACAGAAAGCCGAGCCAAAGGAAACTATCAAGGGACATCCACAGGCCACACATACCAGGCACTCACAGCCCACAGATACACCAACAGGTACCTGAAAAACAAACCACACCGACCACTGCAAACACACAGGTCACAGACCTACACTGCCACGTGAACACCACCTCAGTCACACAGCCCACAAGCATGAGACAGATGCTACGAACCCCACGGGAGCCTACATTCCACACCACCAAGGCACCATGCATCATATATTCCTCCAACAGACAGGTGAGCACACGTCCTTCCCTGCAACATACACATGCCTGCAACACAGGACACACACAGACCAGCCCCACGACACAAAGCATATGCAGGTATATTACACAATGAATGGACGCTCACGCATGCACATAAGCACACATATTCAGAAAGGGTTGGAATGTGCTTCTGAGGCCACATGTGGACCCCATTAGACAATCTCCTGGCTCCATTATGGAGTACAGCTGCTTTTCCCAGGCCAGAGAAGAGGAAGAAAGATCTGGTCCCCAGAGGCTTGGCCCCTCACCTCCTCCTGGGGGGCGCAGAAGTCTGGCACAGGAATCCGGTGGTAGGTAAGGCCCAGGCAGGCCCCCTGATGCTGGCTAAAGACCTCCTGCGTGGTCAGGCACTTCTGGAACCTGGGGGTGGTAGGGCTCTTGGTGTTGGGGGCTGGAGCACTCAGGTGGGCCTTCAGCTGGGCCTCCAGGGCCTGGACAGGAGCAGGACAGAGGGCGGAGGCCACTGAGACAGGCCTGAGAGGCAGGAGCCTGATGGAGCCATGAGTCAGAACCATCCCAGAGGCAGAAAAGCCACAGGGGTATGGGGACATGGGGGCACAGAATAGAAGGCTGGGAACAGCGGTCCCCTCCTAAGCCTCAGCTCCTCCATCCATACAACAGGAGAGCAGGGCCTTCTTTCTCCCGAGTGGCTCCCATGCAGACCATGCAGAAAGCCAGAAACCTCACCTCCAGCTGCTCAGGGGCCAGGGTTGGCCCGGGGGGCCACAGGCTGTGCATGCGACCATCACACTCCAATACAACCTCCTCCCTCAGGTTAATCCAGACCACCTGCCGTAGCTTCCTCTTGGCATCAGACAGGTAGGCCAGAATGCTGCCTAGGGCCTGTGGGATGAGGGGCCATCAGGGCCAGGGCTAGCCTTTCCCCTGCCCCCATGTTTGGACCTGGGCCTGGGAACGGGCACCTTGGCACTGGGCTGGGCGGTACCATAGATAGGCATTCGAGGTACACGCCGGAAGTTGGCTACATCCATCTCTCGGACGGTGCTGAGTGCATCCGGGGAAACAAGATCATCTGCTTCCTGTAGGGAGGATACCAAGCCTGAAGCCCACTGTCACCAGCTACATCCAGCCTCAGTGAGAAAAGGGGGGTGGAGGGGACAGTGTCCTGCGGGATGCAGGGCATGCATGGCTGGACACCTACGGTCTTGTTGGTGTTCCGGCAAGAATGTGATGGGGCACACCTCCGGAGAGGCTCCAGTTGGATGTCTAGCAGTCCAGTTTGACTGTGTCAAAGCTCTGGGCTTTGAGACTAAGGAGAAGTGCTAGGACTGCAGCCAAAGCACGGTGCCTGAGCATGGCTCACACTGAAGCCTGCCAGCCCCCTGGCAGTACCTCCCCAGCCCTACAGGAGATCCAGAACTCTGCGAGCCAGGGATCAACCAACCCAGCCCACTCCAAGGATACACAGCCACTCACCAGGGAGCCCTTGGCGATGAGGTCCCCAGGAACCATGGGCCCCACTGAACTCAGCATCACCGGCAGACGATACAGTTCAGGGTGGGTACACAGCCATCGACTGAAACTGAGGGCAAAGGCCAGGGGGTACTGCAGCCCGAGGCCAAGAGAGACGGGGCATTGAGGGGTGTGGGACCATCCTGAGCCCTCCCTGCCTAGTCACAAAGGGAGCCCCAAAAGGTATCATTGTGGTCCAGGGGGAGAACAAGCAGGTGTTTGCTGCCCTGAGCCTAGGTCTGAGTTGGGAAGGAAAAGGAGAAATGGGACGGGGGCAGCAATAACACTCACTTGGACCCCTTCCTTTCTGCCCCTCCCAACCTTCCTCAGGGACCAACACACACAATCTCAGTCTATTCCCCCCCACACCCCATGACGGCTCTGTTGCTAGGGCGGGAGGAGCGCCACTCCCTCAGCCCCACCTGCTCATGCAGATAGTAGTTAAATAGGATCAGATAGAAGTACAACTCCAGGCTCCACAGCGCCTTCTGCTGGATAGCATGATGGCTACCACTACCCTGAGGACAGAGAGGGGAAGGGAGAAACGGGGTGTTAGACATGAAGCTGTCCTCTTGTCTAGAAGAGTAGAAATCCCCAGAAGGCACTCTCCCTAGCTCCATGACAGTTCTGCCAGGCTGGAAGTCCTTTGCCACGGCTCATCTGCAGAATGGAACTCTGTAGTGACAAGGCTGGGCATGGGTGGCTCTGGTGCAGATGCTGCCTCTCCAGGCCGGTTCCCAGCCCTGGGCCAGGGGTCAAGGGTGAGGAGTAGACAACAGGATGTCTACTCCCCATGTCATGTTCCATTTCCTCTGTGTTGAAGAAGCCAGCACACACATCCCTTTCTTGTTTGTTTTGTTTTTTTGAGACAGGGTTTCTTTGTGTAGCCCTTGCTGTCCTGGAACTTGCTCTGCAGACCAGGATGGCTTCATGCCCTCGGAGATCCGCCTGCCTCTGCCTCCCAAGTACTGGGATTAAAAGTGTGTACCACCACCACCCAGCTCCTTTCCCTTTCTCTTTGTTTGGTTTGGTTTGGTTTTTTGAAGACAGGGTTTCTCTGTGCAGACTTGGCTGTCCTGGAACCACTTTGTAGACCAGGCTGGCCTCAAACTCACAGCAATCTGCCTGCCTCTGCCTCCCAGAGTGCAGGGACTACAGGCGTGCGCCACCACACCTAGCTTTCTTTCTCTTTCTTGAGGGAGATCCTCCTTTAAGAACCAGGAAACACACAGAAGTGATACTCCAGGGCACTATTACCCTGTAGAGAGACAAGAGATAGCAAACGGTAGGATTCCCTTTCCCCTAATCCCAGCCAGCCTCCTCCAGGCAGTGGCACATCACAGAGAGCCCAGGAGTCCCACCCCTTGACCCTCAAGTGTCACAGTTCTCCGGCTGGGTGAGCGACCTAGAAGACCAGTGAGATCCGAGTCGAATGACCTGAGAAAAGGCTCAGAGCCTATATAGTAACTGGGCCCCGCCCCACACCCACCTTTGGGAATCCACACCTCCAAGAGCCTGCACCGCTTTTGCTGTTGAAAGCCAGGGAGTGAGTACGCTGGGTGGGTGGGTGGATGGGGTCTTAGTCTCAGTCACACCCCTCTGCATTACCATGGCAACATGAATAGCTCTGCCATCAGTCAACCGAAAGACTGTGCCAGTGAAATAAAGATGCAGCATGAGCTCTGTGTCCCCAACCCCTGGTCTGGACTAACGGATAGTCCTGGTCTTTGACATCCCTGCTGCAGACGCAAGAGGGGGATCCAGATAACAGAAGATGAAAAGGCTCTAGATACAAGCAATTTCAGAACGACAGAGTCCTGAGAAGCAGCTCATGTGTCAACAACGGGGACCTGTCCGCTGACAGCAACAGGTGACACTCAGATCTCTCCTAAGCGTTCCATGTACCTTTCCTCACCTGACCCCCAACAGCCCTACCAGCTACTTGTCATCACTTGCCCTACCTGACAAACGGGGCAATGAAGGCACACAGCAGATACCCATGTCCCCATCAGGACTGTGACTGTGACCAGGCAGCTCAGTCAGGAGCCCCCAGCTCTCACTCACCAGGCCCACAAAGGTTGACCTGGTCATGAGTCTACACGAAAGAACCATTAAAAATCTTCTCAATGACAAAATCCAGGGATTCACTTTAAAACTAGAAGTGTGGGTGGCTACATAGAGAACCATCCACAGTTGAGGAGAGGCCCATATGCTTGGGAAGCTGCTGGAGCAAGGTGCCTTCGCTTTTCCCGTTTCCGATTTCTCAGTTTTCCCATCATGAAACATAGCTCTCAACGGCTTTGTTTTGGGTGTTAAAGAAAGAAAAGGTTGTAAGGCCTTAGATTTTTTCCATACACAGTACACAAAGACTGTCACTCCCTCTCATCCCCAGAGCTCAGGACAGGAGCTGTGAGCCAGCCCAGCACTCCTCCTGGACCTGTGGAAGGGACAAAGCCTGCTCCTTCCATGGAAGCTCCAGAAGTTTCCTTTGCAGAAAGAGTTCCTGTATGGATCCTGAAAGTCCCCCAGAGACCCCTGAATTAAAGGACCCTTGGGTCCTGCAGCCAGGCAATGGTGGTACACGCCTTTAATCCCAGCACTCAGGTAGCAGAGGCAGGCGGATCTTTGTCAGTTCAAGGCCAGCCTGGTCTACAGAGCCAGTTCCAGGACAGCCAAGGCTACGCAGAAACCCTGAACCCTGTCTCAAACCACACCCCACCCCAACCCACCCCAGCCCACCCCCCGAAAAAAAACAAACAAAGGCTGAGTCCTGGAATGACACTATTGGTAGGTGACAAGTTCCTTAAGAGGCGAGGCTGGGCAGAAGTTCTTTAGGTCACTGGATATGTACCCTAAAAGGGCACAGGATGCAGGCTGCCTCTTCCTGCTTGTCCTCTGGCCATGATCTGAGAAGTGCTGTCCCAAAATTCGTGCCACAATAATGTGCTAGCCAGAAGAACAGCGCCAAAGAATCCTAGGTGTTGACTTGGAGAACTTTCCTCTCCTGTCCTTCCTCCCTCCCTCCTCTCTCACTACCCCTTCTCTCTCTGCCGACCTGGAACACAGCATACAGCCCAGGCTTCCCCTGAGACCGCAGTTCTCCCACCTCAGCAGTGTGAGCTGTAGAAGCCTGCACCACCCCTGGCCTTTCCTTTTACAAGCCAACTGTCACAGTCCTAGGTTTTTCATTATCATAATGTGAAGCTGACTAATGTGATCATCTGGGAAATGTTTGTGTCCAGAAGTCTCAGCAGGCCCCTCTGTCCGTCCTGTTTATTCTGCAGCAAAGGGACCTGCTCAGAAAAAAATAAACTTCCCTCTTCCTCATCCTTCCCACTGGCCCAGCTGCCCACCCCACCCCCTCCAGAAACTACTGTACTGATGGAGAAGCAATCAGACTGAAAAACCCCAATCCCCGACAGAGTCCAGTGTGTTCCTCCTGGCCTCACCTGCTCTGGGCTATCCGGCCTGATGCCTTCAAGCTTCCTCTGTTTCTTTAGGACCTCTTCCTTCAGGTCATGCAATTCTGCACAGGCAGTGATAGCTTGATCCACCTAGGACCAGAGCAGGAGGACAGGGAATGAGAGAGACAGAGAAGATTGTCAGAGAGAGAGAGAAGGGGCAGGGGGGAGACCCTACACACACACACACACACCAGTGACAAGAGCAACCATCCCACTGCCACCACCACTGCGACCTCCACCATCCTGGCCCAGCCCCTCACTCACCTCCTCTACCATCCTCTTCCCCTGGGGCACCTTGCAGATGAAGCCCTGGATCACATGAAACTGCTCCATGGGCAGGGGTTTGGTCAGCAAGGAGGCATCCCTGACAAGGTGAGAGTCAGGAGTGTGAGGAGGGACCACCATGCAGCCCTCTGCCACTGGGGGACAGCATATTGCAGGCTCCTTCTGAATTCTACTGGGGGAATGAAAACCCAGAAGGGTCCAGTGCCTCTCTCCAGGGCACCAAGCAAAGCTGTGGCAAAAGAGGCAGCAATGCCCAGTCTTCCAGAAGTGGCCCCATCATCCCGGAGGTGGCCTCACCCTCTCCTCTTCCCGTCCTTCCAACCCTTTGGCTGTCAGGACTCTGGCCACTCACTCTGGCTGGGAAGTGGTTCTACTGTAGTGGAACAGCACAAGGGTACCCAGGACCATGCCCAGGTTGGTCCTTCCCACACCTGACTGGCAGCTGAACAAGAGGGCAGGAGGAAGCCCGTGGCTATCTCGGAGTCGCAGAAGGCTGGGGGTCTCCTGCAGGAGGGAACGTAAAAAGACTATCAGGCGATAGTGTCACGGGAAAACCCTGAGGCTGCGGCCTCTAGTCAAGCTTATGACATCTGTAGCAAGCTGGGGTCAGACAAGCAGCAGTCTCTGATGTCAGGCTCACACACAGATCTGCTCCATCTGCTCCCGGGCCTCAGGTCCTGCCCCTGCTCCGCCTCAGGGGAACTCAGAGAACGGGCCAGGAACCACGGGCCTGCAGTAGGCACTACTCAGAGAGTTCTAGGCTCTACATTGACCTGACCTCTCCCCATATAGTACAAATTAAGGCACTATCCTGACATGGGTTGGGACAGAAAGACCTCCCACCCTTCACTCCCACCCGTACCCAGTAAATATCAAATCTGTGGAACAAGAATCTCAAGCTTAACTGAAGACAGAAGGAAGGAAGGAAAGGTCTAGAGAGGAGGAAAGGTCTCCAACACCACACGGCGAGTGTGCAGCCGGGCCGTGGCAAGAGCTGGGCCCTCCAGACATTAATGCTGGACTCTGGCGTTAGAGAATTGCAGATGTGTGCGTGCACACCTGAGCACACATGCTGCAGAAGGAGCATATACTCACATAAGGACACACCCACCACACCACACCCCAACATACCGGACCCCATACACAGCATGGATCGTACCTTCCACAGATGATGGCCAGAGGTCACACCCACCCTGAGCATCTCCAAGGAGACCAACTAGTGGCACCTGTTCCTACCTGCACTCCCAGAATCCCCCTGGGTTCCACTTACCCGGAGGACGCTGACAAAGGCATCAAACTGGGCTTCCAAGGGGGCCCCTTGCTCTGGCAGGGGGAGACGATAGTATCTGCCAGGAACAGAGGGTAACCCATAAGCCAGGCAACGACCCTGAATAGCAGCTCAAGACCTCATTCCCAAGCACAGGCCTGATGTGCAGATGGGGAAACTGAGGTAGCAGCTGGAGAGCCACAGAGGACATCAGCTCCAGGTACCTGTAGGTGGGCTGCAGGAACAGCGGCCGCTTAAACACCTCCTCGGTCACGTGCACATCGTCCTCACCTCGGATGGCCACAGTGTGAGGCTCCCCACGCAGGTCATCCGTGTTGTGGTACACGTGGTACACGTTCTCTCTCAGCTGGGCAAAGTCATGGATCTAGAGGTTGACGCAGGAGTCAGAGGGACAGGACCCGAGTTTCCTAGGCCAGGTCTGGTGACTGGGCCACAAAGAAGCTTCACATAGATTTCTTTTCCTCTAGGAGGGAACCACAGGCCAGGGGGACTCTGCCCTGCCTGAGGACAGCCAGACCTGCATGGGCCAACCATGACCTCGCTGCAGGATGGCCGGAGGGCTCGGCCCAGTGGGCAGCAGAAATGCACCAAGCCACCTGAATGCCAGGGCAGGGTGAGGCTCAGCCAGCTAAAGCAGAAGTGAGAGAGGCAGGGTCAGGCTGGTCCCCAGCAAGGCCTGGACCTCCCCACATGCATCTGTCTCTGAAGCACTGTGACCCCACATTCCATTCACACACCTCTGTGGTGTGTCAGCTGTCTCGGAGCCCCCACCAAGCCTCTGTGCCATGGGAGAGAAGAGGAGGCCCTGGACTCCCAGAGATGGGCCCAAAAAACTTGATTCCTCAGGGCCCCACAAGACAAGTAAACAGCCAAACTTCAGCCATGGGCCTCCTACCCTAGAGCTCTTCTTACCCCTCCCTAAACCAGGACAGGGGAGTGAAGGAGAAGCAGGGTAGGAGAGGGACAGAAATAGGCCAGCTGGGAACAAGGGGGCATGTTTTCAGCCAACCACTCACCCAAGCAGGGCATGAAAACTAGGGAGTGTGGGCCAATGATGGCTGAAGAGCTGGGCTGCAGGCTGGGGTCTCAGCTCAGATACTAAGAGGCCAGCTAAGGAGAAAAGCTCATATGACTGCCAGGCCCCACCTCTTTCCGGATGGCCAGCTCCAGACTCTCGGCCTTGACCCCCGGCCCAGGGCCCCTGAGGTTCTCATGAAGACTCTCCTTGTCTCGAGGTGTGTAGGACACAAAGTCCTCCTCAGCCCGCAAGAACAGCACAGGCTCCTCCCGCACACAGAAGATGATGCACTCCTGGCAAAAGAAAGCCATTGCCCCATCCTGCACGGACACCATCCCCTGTCCAACTTCCAGCTTCTATGCCTTTGCCCAGATGGTTCCTCCCTCATCCAGGGGGAAGGGACGGACCAGACCCTACAATAGGAATCCTAAAGAAACTGTAAGTTCCCTCTATTGCCACCTGCCCCCAACTCCCCTCAATCAGCACAAATCCACTCTCCTCTCCCCGGAGCAAGCTCTGTTGCATTTTAATCTACTGATATGTCAGCAGGTCTGTCTTTTTTCTCTGGGTAGACTACACATCACCCAGGCAGAATCATTCTGGTCCTTTGCATGGGCCCACGATGCCCAGCATAGAGTTCTAGGTAAACCAGTTGCCTGATAAAGACCAGCTGAAGAAAGACTGAGCTAGACCATCTTGTGGCACCTGAAGTTGGAAAGCGGCTCTCTTGTCACCTCTCACATCCTCTGAGGCTCTCAAGAGTGGGATATACAAGAGGCTTCTGACCTTAGGAATCCCCTAACAGGACAAAGCAATAAACACTCTCCAGTTTCTGCCTAACCCAGGCCACACTCCCCTCTCCGGCCCACTCCAGAGCCTCGGATGTCACCTCTTGCTGTGGAGGGACAGCCTGGGACATAGCAAGCTCACCTTGTACCCATCCTTCTGGAGTTTCTGCAGGACCCTCCTGAACCCCAAGAGGCTGGGCTGTCCCATGCCAAACACAGGGAGCCTGTCCTGCACCTGCCGGAAGTTGGGAGCCCCACAGCTCCCCAAAGTGCCCAGCATGTCCATCTTCTCAGTGATATCACGTACCAGGAAGTAGCGACCCTGACAAAGAGAACCACAGCAGATCAATCAAGGACCCAAGGGTTTCACCTCAGGCAAAACTCTGCCCTGGTCTCCAGGGAATAGGGAGGGGACTGGAGACACAGTCCTGCCCTCAAGTTCTGGCAGTTTCATGGGACAGATATCTGTGATGGCAACAGTGTTTGGTTCAAAAGAACCAGAGAAAGCTTCACCTAGAAGGTGGCCTTGAGGCCACCCAGGCCTTGAAGAGAGCAGATATCGGAACTGCGGCCAAAGCTGGCTCCAAAGGGGGCCTTACAGCTCCCCTGGAGGACAAGATACCTTGAGTTCTCAGTGAGGCTCATAGAAAGAGGGTCATGTCAGGACTGAGACAGAAGACAACTAGGCCAGCTCCTCCCTGGAGCCTCACCAGTTCCAAGGACTCCAGACTTGGGTAAAATGACACACAATGAGCAACAAGAGAAAAACAGGATACTAGCTTGATAAGAGTTCAATCCTAGGCAAACCAGAGCCTTGGGTCATCTCCTGTGACCCCTGCTTGACAGACAAGGAGTGAGACCTGTACACCCAGACATGCCAGAAAGCCCAAAATGACCATCGCAGCCAGCCAATCACCCAGCGTCTAGTCCTTCCTACACTGCTCTCAAAACTGATCATGGGACAACAGTACCAAATGCTTTAAAACAGCAGGTCTGTGGACTTTTTACCCCCAGGAGGCATGGGGGGAGGGAAAAAAAAAAAAAAAAAGCTAAGCCAGTAAGTTCTGAAACTCTAAAATGTGGAGTTTTAGACTCTTAGAATCTAAGAGCAGTAGGTGGCGACCCCGTTGGCAAACCTCTATTTCCAAAACTACAGTAGCAAAATTACAGTTATGTAAGTAACAATGAAAATAATTTTTATGGTTGGGGTCACCATAACATGAGGGCTGTGTTAAAGGGTCACAGCATTTAGGGAGGTTGAGAACCACTGTATTAGAAGAAGATGGAAAATACTAGACAGGAAAGGGATCGGGAGCAGGAGTCTGGGGCCAGGACCCCCATAGAGAGGAGAGGGGAGAGTGGACCCCATGGGTGGTTAAGAAGAACTGAGGGGCTGGGGCATGGCTCAGCAGTACTTACTTGCCTAGAACCATCAGTGAGGGACTGGGGATATGGCTCAATGGTAGAACGCTTGCCTAAGAGTATGAAAAAGTCCCTGAGTTCCAAAGAAGGACTGAGAGACAAAGGTAGAGTGAGAGAAGGTGGAAGAGGAGAGGAGGCAGAGAAGGGGTAAGGAGGGCAGGGTGGGGTAGGCAGAGCTGCCCTCACCTGCACTAAATAGTGCTCAGGGGTGGCATCTGAGAGCCTGCCCATCCTGTAATGGGCCTTGAGCAGCTCTTCGTGGATCTGGAACTCCTCCTTGCAATTGTACCTGCCAGAGGCACAGTGAAAACTGAGTCAGTCAGATGACCTTTGTTGGTCCTTTACATTGTCACCAGAACCCCCAGCAAAGATATCTCACCCCCACCCATGCAGCAGCCCCTTCGTCCTCATACATAGACCATCAGGGCGGAAACAGAGACCTGAGCTACCCCACTGCAAACTACACTTCTCAGACTCCCTTGCAGCTAGCTGAGTTCTTGTGATTAAGCTCTAACCAATGAGATGTGAGGAAATGAGGTGGGGCAAATTCTGGGCCATTATGCCTTCTAGTCTGTCTTTGGTTTCCCCTCCTGCCCCCATGGCAGAAGTAGAACAGTCCTCTGAAAAGACAGAGGCAAGCGGTGATAAATCGAGGCAAAACACTGGGCGAGCCTGGGGCTGTGACGGGAACAGTCCCCACGCTTCCAATCCTAAAGTCCAGTGCAATTCAGCCCACAATATCTGAAGGGTGAATTGGATCCTTGGCCGTTTACAGGTGTTCAATTACTCGGACCCACAATAGGCTTGACTGTTTAACAAATCCACAGTGATCTGTGTAGACAGTAAAGCCAGGTAAAGGCACAATCACTGAAGCAGGATGCCTGTGTACTCAAGACCCAAAGCTACACTGCTCAGTGCCTGAGAGCCACCTGCTAGAGCTCAGGCTCTCCTGCTGGGGCACCATACAAAACACCTGCCGGTAGGAAAGCAGTGGGCAAAATGGGTGGGGTGGAGGACGGCTGCACAAGCAAGGGGCCTCTACCTTGCTGACACATCACAGTGGCCCACACTCTGCCTCCCTGAAACCCGGCTTCCTGTCTAACTCAGTTTTCATCTCTATCTGCTGTGATCAGGGCACTGCAAACCTTTCCTGCAAAGGGCAGAAAGCAAACTTTTCCAGCTCCGTGGACCCTGTAGACTCTGTTACAGCCTGGCGATTCTGCCAACAAAGCACCAGGTATCCGTAGGTGATGTACAAGTGGATGGGCCTAATGGAGGACCAATAAAACTTTATTCACATCAGCAGGTGATGGCCCAGATTTGGCCTGCACGATGCAGTAAGCTGGTGCCTCGCTGGACGGTCTGTAAGGTCCCTCCCTTCCACCTCAAACACTCTGCAACCCAAGGAGGGCTCCGAGTGCAGCCTGTTCCTGCTGTATGTTTTCAGGTGGCCAGTAACTGAGCCATACCACCTGGCTCCATATTTTCCCTGTCATCTCTATTTATGCTGATGAGGAAAGTGAGGCCCAGAGAGGGGAGAAGGAGATAGACCCAGGCCCCAAAGCTGCTTTTTCCACAAGGCTGGCTTCAATGCCTAAATGACTGCCTTTCTTTCTTTTTTTTTTTCTTTTTTGTTTGTTTGTTTGATTGGTTGGTTGGTTTTGTTGTTTTGTTTTGTTTTGTTTTTGCGACAGGTTCTCACTATGCAGCCCTGGCTGTCCTGGAATTAACTATGTTTGATCAGCTGGCCTCAAACTTACTGTCTCCTAAGTGCTGGGATTAAAAGCATGTGCCACTATGAAACCCAGCAATCCAAAGTGACTTTCACCATCTGTCAAGTCACTTTTTCATGACATTTCTTTTCTGCCTTTATCCCAAGCACAACAGTTTATGGTAATTACTGCTATCCTGCCAAGCCCCAGGGCTTGAAGGCTGATTGATCATTCCACCCTCGGGCTTCTTTACACTTCAGGCCCATCTCTCAGATCTCTGCCAAACTTGTGTGTGAGGCATCTTCTTAGAGCACCGTGTCCCCCTTCCTGCATTCCAGAAAGGCCCAGAGATGAGGAAGCACAATGGACAGGTATGATGAGAAGAACAAGGCTCCAGCTCCCCAAGAGACAGACATAGGGTACCACTCCACACACAGATGTCCATCCTTCCTGGCCCTCCTGGATGCTTACGTGTTGGGTGGCCGAAAGCACTCTAACAGGAGAAAACCCCTGCTCCTCCTAAAGGCCCCAACCGGAGCATGGACGAGGAGTCCCCAGCTTTCCAGCCCACGGCCTTAGAGAAAAGCCTAGATCGGTGGGGGGGCATCATGATGCACGCCTTTAGTCCCAGCACTTGGCAGGTGGATCGCCGAGGTTTCGAGGACAGCCTGGTCTATACGGCAAGCCAGCTAAGGCTACCTAGTGAGACCCTGTCTTTAAAACAACAACAATAATAATGATAACAATCAAAAAGAATGTTTCTTTGGCCACTCTTTATTCTCTGGGCTTTTGCAGTACCACGTGGTAGTCCATGCACATGGCTAAGCAACATGAGCCCAGAGACTCACAAGAGACACAGTCCTACGACCAGCTTGCTGTGTGATTCCAGAAATACTGCTTAACCTTGCTGGGTAAGGTGCAGTGTTTTTATCTACAAAACTGGAAGCAGTCTGTGGGCATTCAGTGCACGCAGGTTTTCCCCTAAAGGCCACGTCTTCCAGGAACATGACCACATGCCCCCCCCAATACTCACGTGATCACAACGGGGGCCACCTTGTTGGGGATGATGGACTTGGCCTTGCTGTTGTGCAAGCCTGTGGTGTGGAAGGGCTGCACACTGAGTGAATGCCTGCCATCCATGGTGCTGCTGCCTTGCAGGCCCTCCAGAGAGGTGCCAGCCGAGACTGTCTGCTGTGCTGTGCTTGCTGTTGTACCCATAGTCCGCCAGTGGCCTCAGGACCCGAGACCTGCAGGTGAGAAGTCACACAGTTCAGAGGGGCAGGAAAAAGTCAAAGCAGAGGGAGCCTGGCCCCTCAGGAAGAAGCAATTCCCCCCATGGCTGCAGACTCAGAGACTCTGGGGCATCTGCCTTCATGGCTGGCTCTGCTGACGCTGTGGGAGAGTTCTGTACAGAAAAACCTAACAAGCAGCTCCAGCTGCTTAGAGGGGCTTCTCTCAGGACCTCCTGGGACCACCTATGTCCCCTGTGTGCTTTAAGGAGGCTGGAGCCAGAGGAGGGAGGAAATAAGCCTGGGAAACCAAGCCAGGACCCCAGACGGTGGAGGGGAGAGCAGGCTGTGCTGGCCACTAAGAAGGGCTAGAGAGATTAAGAGCACTGGCTGCTTGTCCAGAGGACCAGGGTTCAATTCCCAGCACCTGCATGGCAGCTCACATGTCTAACTACAGTCCCAGGGGACCTGGAGCCCTCTTCTGGCCTCTGTAGGCACCATATACACGTCTTACACAGACATGCAGGCAAAATACCCACATACATAAAAATAAACTTAAAAAAAATTTAAAAACCTGAACATGTTCAGGAAAATAATTTTTTTAAGAAGAAGAAAGGCTGGGCTGGAGGGATGGCTCAGAGGTTAAGAACACTGGCTGTTCTTCCAAAGGTTCTGAGTTCAATTCCCAAGAACCACATAGTGGCTTATAACCATCTGTAATGAGATCTGGTGCCCTTTCTGGTGTGCAGGCAGACCAGGTAGAATGCTGTATAAATAATAAATAAATAAATCTTTAAAGAAGATGAAGAAGAGGAGGAGGAAGATGAGGAAGAAGGGGCGGAGGAGAAAGAAAGGCTGAGGGACTGAGGCACAGCTCAGCCACAGAGCACTGGTAACTAACACGGGGTACAGTCAGGTAGGGTTAGCCGCCCAGAGGTCATGTTCAGGACTTCCAGGCTCAGACAGCAAGAAATGAAGCTGGGTAGAGAGGGCTTGGACAGGAATAGGCCGCCGGGCTCACATATGCCCCTTGCACGGAGGCCATTCTCCTCTCCTCCATGTCATTCCGCTAAAGCACAAACAGGAAAACACTCTATTCCCGAGTTTCATACAAGGAGGCCAGAGACATCCAGACCAGGTGAGCTCCCATCAGATGAAGCATTCAAAGAAAAGAGCAGCCACAGTTCTGGGAAATGGGGCAGAGCTTCCCCACCCAAGGAGCGCTAAGCATCCTGGACTGGAAGGTCTCAGCAGCCTGAGGTTAAAGTCAAAACCTATTTAAAGCAAGTGAAGGAACATATCAGGATCCAGTGGAAGAGCTGGAGAATGGCGTAAGGCTTGGGGCCTGCTTGGAAGAACAAGGTTAGGTGTCCCACATGGAAAGTGGCAGTTATGGCAGAGGGGATCATGGGAGGGTTTTTTTTTTTGTTGTTTTTTGGTTTTGTTTGTTTGTTTTTGCTTGTTTGTTTGTTTGGTTGGTTGGTGTGGTTTGATTTAATTTTTGGGTTTTTGAGACTGGGTTTCTCTGTGTAGTCCTAGCTGTACTGGACTCACTCTGTAGACCAGGCTGGCTTCTAACTCAAAAATCCACCTGCCTCTGCCTCTGGGATTGAAGGCATGCACCACCACTGCCACAGCTTCATGGGTGTGTCTAGGAACTCAGTGGCCACAGGCCCACACATGTCACTATGGGGGTGAATTCTGGTAGCTCCCCATTTCCTTTTACCCTTGGGAGATAGCCCACTATGTAGCCTAAAACATTTAGCTGCAAATCATGGGTGCTGTCTGCTCCTGACCACACTCCCCCACCAAACCCCCACCCTCACACCCTTTATCACTGCAGCAGCACCCAGAGATGAGAACAGTGGGCTGATGGGTCAGTGCAAAGCCAGGCCAAGTCAGTCTGCAGTCCCTGGGCCTGACTTAGAGCTCCCAGTGCTCATATAGACTCCCCATACAGGGGGGGGGCTCCTTCCCCAGAATACAGGGGCTCCATCCACAGAGCTA